CTTGACTCTTTTGGATACTCTAGCATGATTGTGTAGGAATACGTCCAGAAAATGTGATATTGTTACAATAAATCGCACGATAAGCACATGGAAGGCTAACCCGGGAAACAACTCAAGCGCTAAAAACGGTTTTTGCGCAGAACGATGCCAGAATTTCAGTTCTGCGCATAGCAATATGCGTTGGTACAGAACGTGTTGAATTCTGGGTAAAACCTCGTACCGTGGCCCACTGTCAGCGAAAAATCTGTTGAGCAAAACGCGACCAGATTCCACTTCTCCAAAGCGGATTCTTAATATATCATCAACTGAAGCGTCCGGCCGCATTCCTATCACGAGTTTATTTGCAGTGCCCCTCAACATAGATCTAACAGTCTGGATAATGACCGACGGCGGTTCGATTCCAGAATCACTGTATGCAAGCACTTCCTGCGACCATGTTTCAAAGTCGGCATCCGATTTAGCGCGCGAACTGTCTCCCGAAAATGTGGACAGTTTTGGTCGCGCTGACAGATATGTAGGCACGCGCAGTGTGTGTAACATACCTGAGCGGGAACGTCCTTCAGGGGAACTAAATTCCAAATCAACGTTCTGTCCACACTCACCTTGATCACTTAATCCTACAGGTACACCACCTTGCTGTCGGTATATGCTTTCATTGTTATGTCTCACAGTATGATTCTCCATAGGACCTCCAACATGTCGGTGCTCACCACGGCCACTGGGAAGGGAGTCCCGACCAAAATCCAATGGCAAACGCCACGACCCCTACCCAACATCTGGCGTCGCCCTACTGGCGCTGACACAGGAAAAATGCGACCCCTCACTGCTACTCCCCTACCTTGACATAGAATGTGATACGTACTATATCATTTGATATGTATCATAGAATGTGATACGTATTATATCACTTTATATGTATCATAGAATGTGATACATATTATATCATTTTATATTTAACATATAATGTGATACGTATTATATCATTTGATATATATCATATAATGTGATACGTATTATATCATTTGATATATATCATAGAATGTGATACATTTTATATCATTTGATATATATCATAGAATGTGATACGTATTATATCATTTGATATATATCATAGAATGTGATACGTATTATATCATTTGATATATATATCATAGAGTGTGATACGTATTATATCATTTGATATGTATCATAGAATGTGATACGTATTATATCATTTGATATATATCATAGAATGTGATACGTATTATATCATTTGATATATATCATAGAATGTGATACGTATTATATCATTTGATATTTATCATAGAATGTGATACGCCTTATATCATTTGATATGTATCATATAATGTGATACGTGTTATATCATTTGATATATATCATAGAATGTGATACGTATTATATCATTTGATATATATTATAGAATGTGATACGTATTATATCATTTGATATGTATCATAGAATGTGATACGTATTATATCATTTGATATATATCATGGAATGTGATACTTATTTTATCGTGTGATGTGTATCATGGAATTTGATACGTATCACATCATTTGATATGACAGGATCTGCATTTCTTGAGAAACAGGTAAACACCGAAAAAACAAATAAGAATGCAGCAAACGATTTGTGCCAATTGCCACTGACGAACAACACTTATTTCCGCGGTCGCGGGGATGCAATTCATTCATCTACAATTTCGCATGGAAATTACAAACGATATCGAATTCTAGGTTGCCATTATTTGAATGAAACGTAATTTGGAGAATGTTATAGAGTGCATTTCGTCAGGATGCGTTTACACACTCAGTCCCTGTCAGGGCCTAGCTTGTTCTAACAAACCGCTACCCATAGATTTTATTGAAGTCGAACGCGATTTTTCATGCGTCAAGCCGATTCGAGCCGTTGGGTTCCAATAAATACTGGCGTGTAAACGAGGTACACTCCGGTAGCATAATTGTAATTATCGTAATTCAATAAATATCGGCATTACCGCTGTATGCCAGTGTTTAACGTGTATACGTATTAACATTCTTGAATCGTGTTACAGAAATGTCGCCTTTTTAATTATTTGTTCAATGAGCCATGCCGTAGCCTTGAAAATTTACAACTACTTGAACAAATCTTAGACATTCTGTCCTCAAATTTGAGTTCTAAATAGCATAACAACCCAAACGAGAAATAAACATATCGATTCCTCCTCCATATTAATTTTGCCGCCGGGTTTCTATCCTTCACTTATCTGAAGAACACGATACTCGAAGAAGACGTGAAGTGCCATTTTTATTACAACGAGTTACTTCATGACCTCATGAATAATGAATAGTTTATTGGATATATCCTTGCCAGGCAAAAGTCATCGTGTCATAGTAGGTCAACCAACACGTTACTGAGGGACACTACTAGTCGTGTGCTGGTTTTGTGAGTACGGAACATTCGTGTTGTTATTGTGATTGATCTGTCTCCCTCTAGCTGACAGTTTATTGAGACGAGGAATCAGAACTTGGCGTGGACTACGGCACTGGTCTGCACCAGGGTATATGGAGAAAACAATTTATTCAGACAATGCTGTGTTTTAACGCCAGGCAACAGAAGAAAGAGTACTTCTTTGTACTTAAGACTACGTATTTAGATCTACATTGTTATTATTATACTGGTTTGCCGTAACGAAGTGAAAGGAATGTCATAGTATTAGTAGTGGCAAAATGTCTGGCGTCGTCGTCGTCGTCGTAAACTTTTTGTAGGCGCGATAACGCTAACTCTAATAATATTCAGCCGACTGCTACCAAACTTATATATTTATATACCTTTCGACTAATTAGTGTATATCTTGATATGCGAACGCGACTATATGTTGGGTATAGCTTGATAGACTACATCTGGACATGTGTATACCTTTTTATATATATCACTTGATCGGTTTATATCGCTTCATATGTATTAAAGCGGGAGGGTCGTCGCTTGCGCACGCACGGGAATTGAGTCCCAAGCGATGATATCAACACACGCTAAAAAACGCAAAGGCTCATGGGTAGACGCTAGTTTGTAAACAAGCACACGCTATGGCAATCTGACGCATGCGCAGGTGACGACTCCCCTGCTTTAATCCATAACTGTGTGTACTCATGTATGTTCATTTTTCTTTGTCATTTATTATACAATATGTCTTGGTGTAATACTGCAATGATCTATGAGCACAATATATAGACCTTAGCGAAATAATAATTAGGTTTTAATTTGAAATTGTTTAGTAATCTAAATTGACATTGCTTATTAAGTATCGTTTACTTTTTACTTTGGCAGGGATTACATTGAATAAAATGGAAAGGAAGATTATTCGAAGCGATTTTAACGATATGATGAAAATGCTCCAGGAACCAGGTCACGGGAAAGATGACGTTCTTGGTGTCTATGATCAATGGGCAAACTATTATGAACAAGTACAGTAACTTTTAACGATTTTTAAAATTACATTGTGATGAATGACAAGGCAAGAGTCGTTAGTAAAAACATCATCACATTCATGACCCCTATAGGTCACACATCCTGGTACTTTTGTTGATACGACAGCATCACAAACATACGCTATTAGGACATTCCTTTAGCACTGAAAGAAACAATAAACTCAAGTAGCCGAAACAAAGAGTCAAGTTTAGAAAATAGTGCTGAAATATATATTATTTTTTTGAAAGTGAGTTCAGAAATATATTAAGAATATTTCATAGCGAATTGTATTATATATGCACACCAATAATACTTTTAACAATTACGACTATTTAGGGACATTAAAGAATAATAATAATTTCTTTTATTCACGATATTTCTGCATTTCATTTTTCCTGATTTATAACTAAAAGCAGCTGAATGAATTTATATGTAGCGTGTTCACAAAATCGTGTAATAACTTTAATAACTATTATATTTTCCTTCATAAAAACGAAAGAATTTCACAATGTCAAAAATGGAAAGTTTGTATCGTGGTTTTTAGTGTAATATTACTTGACACCTAATATTGTGAGAAGATGCAGCTCTTTGTATTTATGTGTAGCGTTTTATTCATACTAACTAAGTAAGTAATGTTTATTATTTATGTCTAGGACACATTTCTGTTAGGATACAGAGGGCCGCAGTTAACAGCGAATTTGGTGTCGAAACTAGTGAAGAACAAAAACGATAGAATATTAGATGTCGGGGCAGGAACCGGATTAGTTGGCGATGAGGTGAGACATTTTCGTCATTTATTTTTGTCTTGTTTACAGGTAGGGTTCTATTAGAGTTGCAGGGTTTGTGATTATTTAGGTTTATTTGAGTGTAATTTACATTGACCCTGTTTGATAACGTAAATAATAGTACTTTTAACGAGGTTATAAGAGTGTAATGGTTACTTGATGTATATCATCTTGAATATTAAATGATATTTTTGTGAATTTTGCAGAATGTTTGATCAAAGAATTTATATTAATATTTAATTGTTTCTACCAGTATGTTATTCATAACTATTGTTCAGTTAAGTGCTTAGATAACTTAATTTATTTATGAGCTAATTTCCCATTCACCAATGAACAATGCAGTACAGCACACCTGTACTTCGCCTATTCACTAACACTTTTTACAAGACATGCAATTTCTGTGTGGAAATCAGTAAAATCACTGAACCAGCTACTAGTACACACAGAGGCACTCGAACTGACATCAACAAAGGTAAACCAATCATAGTCATTAAAAACTGCTTTCAAACCAAAGTCATCTGTAAGCACCATATGAAAATTTGTGCTTACAACTGGTTTTTAATCCGTGTCGAA